CAACGCTATTGAAGATGGCTGTGGGGTGGCCCACCCAAATTTTTTTGGGTGGGCCACCCTTATCACCTAGGGGTATAAAAAATAGTCAAGCCGTTTCGGGAGAGTTTGGTTACACACACTGCGACACGGGAATTTTATATATTAGACGACAATGAATTTGCGATGTTTTTCTTTAATTGATTCAAAAGGACCAAAACCAAACGATCAATATCTTAACCCACAACTATGACAGTTTTATTAGTATCTCTGGCAGTTTCTATCGAGATCTTAATTATGTCAGCATCAGCATCTTCTTCTGCTTGTTTACAGGAAAATCCTTGTGACTGTAGATTCCAAAAGTTTCTTTTAAATAAGTCACTTCATCACGATTTTCTTCAAGTAACTCAGCCGGCATGTGTATTTTAATAGACGATGTTGTTCATTCTTCTGATGGGCTAAAATTTTCCGAAGGCCATTCAGGTATATAAGTTATCTTAAAATAGCATTAAATAGGCACCTATGCATATAATTTAAAAATTATCCTACAACTTTAACAAAATATTGTAGATGTCTTATAAAGCATTAAGTTTATTAACTTATTTGGTTCTTAATTATAGTAGTATATTTCGATTTGCAATTTTTTAATTTATCAATGTAACATGGAATCTTACGTTTTTCGAGTAATTAACGTGTAAATTTTAATAAATAGCTCCAAATTTTACATAGTAATTGAGAAACAACTTTTTGAATTCGAGTTTCTTCGTTTTTTTGCATTTCCTGTGAAAATTTTCCACAGTAATGTATAATTGTTTTTACACTTTCAGAAAGTAGAGATTTCAGAGAACAAAAAGCAAACCGATTTTTTTCAAAAAGCAAATATTTTGACGTGAGAATTTTCGAATGAAAATTAGGGTGGTTTTTCGATATTAAATCAAAATAAGACGAAAAAATAAATATTTTGAATCAAAAAAATTACAGTGAGTTTAGGACATAAATAGGTAAGTTTTCACTAAATTTCGCGAATTTTTTTTTTTGTGAGAGATAAAAATAAAAAACCAAAAACTCGGTTATTTGCATTTTTCGCATAAATTTTGAGGTTATGTAAAGAAAGTGTAAATACAAAAGTTGTAGATCTTTTTATTACCTACAACTTTGCCATTTAACTTTTTGCGATAGGACTTGTAGTTTTGCCGGAAATCGTGATAAACCGTTTTCTACCCTTAAAAGCTTCCCCTCTTCCACTTCCCGACCTCAGATCGCCCGTAAATTATTTTTCCTTTTATTTTTGTTATATGTTCTTCCTTTTCCAATGGGTATCATCCTGTTCTAATTTTTTTTCACTTTTTACCATTTTCAAAGGCTTCGGCACTGGTCTATTAGTGTTTTATATCTTAAAGGCTATGATAAATCCTCATGAGGGCCCTTAGGTCTTCTTTTTAGAAACCTTTGAAACAATCTCGGTGGTTCTTAGTGTTTTGTTTGTGGAAGTATGTATTTGAAACAATTTCGTAGACTCTTAGGGTTTAATTTTGTGAAGGCAATGAAAAAACCTCAGAGGGGCCCTAGTGTCTCATTTTTAGAAGCCTTTCAAACAATCTCGAAGGCTTTTCTTTCTAGTACCTTTTGAAACAATCTTGGGGACCCCTAATGTCTTATTTGAGGAAGTTCTTGAAACAAAATACGTTTCAAAGTGTTTAATTTTTCGAAGGCTTCTAAAAAAACCTGTCTTGTTTTTGGAAGCACTTGAAATAATCTTGGGTATTCCTAGTGTTTTGTTGGGGAAAACATTTGAAACAATCTCGGAGGCCGCCGGTGTTTTATTTTTTGAACACTTTAAAAGATTCTCGAGGACTCTTAGTGTTTTATTTTTTAAAGCCTTGGAAAGTATCTCGGAGGCTCCAAGTGTTTTCTTCTTTGAAGGTTTTGAAAAAATCTCAAGGAGTTCTAGTGTTTAGTGTTTTTTTTTAAGTTTTGAAAGACTCTCGAAGACTTCTACTGTTTAATTTCGAAAGGTTTCGAATGAATCTGAGAGACTCCTAGTGTTTTATTCTTTCAAGGCTTTGAAAGATTCTTGGGGTCTTCTAATGTCTTGTTCCATGGAAATATTTGCAACAATCAGAGGCCCTTAGTGTTTTATTTTTTAAAGGTTACGAAAAAAACCTCGAGGGCCGCTGGTTTCTCGAACGTCGGGGATCTCTTGTGTTTTATTTTTTGAACGCTTTGAAAGAATCTCTGGGACCCCTACGTTTTATTTTGGAGGCTTTGAAAGAGTCTCGGGGCCCCTGGTGTGTTATTTTTGGAAGAACTTGAAAGAACTCTTGTGAATGAAGTCTAAATTTCTATATGTAGATTTGTGATAAATATTTATAATTCCCGGATTTACTACATTTCCAGTAGGTAAGATATTCACATAAAATCAGCCACCTCTCTATCGGACTCCACTTCTCTCCTAGTATCTCGCCGTTTCTCGCGGAATTTATATTTCCAATTTGACATTTACGCTATGCAAATCGGTGCGCTCCGGTATCATTCCGGCGGCCACAAATCTGGCGGATAACGCGGCCGCTGCATTCTTCTCCGATTCCTCCTCGAACTTCCTCGTGCAGCGCATAAGTCCATCGAAATGAATCGAAACGCGCGGATTAAGCCTCGTTCTCAGTCCGCGGCGCCTGCTCGGTCTCATTTGAATAAGCCCCTCGGGCGACGTGCGCTTCAACTATGATGTATCAACATATTTTAATATTTAAGAACGTAATGAGCTATAATTTTATGTTTTGCTTGAAAGTGAGTGTGGAATTATTGTAATTATGATTAATGGTCCTCAACTTTTCACACATTCTCTTTGATCGCGCCTAATTTGCCGAAGATATTAATTTTAACAGATTTTATCGACGTGAGATGTTTTAAAGTACCGAAAACGACCCAAAAGCGATGGTGAGATATGGTCACGATCTGGGGAATTTTTGAAAGGTTTGCGTCGGTTTTTTATTTTCGTGATTAGCACTAGAAGAAACGTGAAAGGACTGAAACAAGGGTCGGCTCTCGACCCGAGTCTCTTCGCGCGCCGCACCAGCGACATCACGATAAAAATCCCCTATAGGAATGCAGAAACAGGGAACACCCAACCGTGTCTAAGCAGCTCTGGGACAAAAATCCCCCGATCTACATTTATCCCGTTAAGTGACATTCGCTAATGCGTCCGCCATGTTGATCCACTAGAAATCCATACAAATGATCGCAAGTGTTCGCGTCAACCCTTTTTGCTCTTGCACTTGTTATAGAATCCGCCGCATAAAATAACCGAATGACACGCGAAAAAATCATCGGATAAGTGCTCTCGTAACCGGTAGAAGTCGCGGCAAGCTCCTATATTACGCCGCCTACGCTCATTCTTCCACTGCTGCCATCCGTCAACTTCACCACCCGCTGTTATCATTTGCAACCGATAATTACTCTAAACGTGGCAGCACTGTCGAACGGTGCGTGCTGGCGATTTTTCCCCGGTACTAGTTCCTGGTGCCCGAGATTCCCACGAAATCGCACAAACTAACACTGCGACGCTATGGCGGTCTGGAATTAGCCCGAAACAAAGTAATGTCTTCATATCCCCGGGTTCCTCGTACCCGTAAAAAGCTCGTAAAGCTCGCCTCGAAAACAATAATCATCCGCTTTTTACGAATGTGTAAATAATGAGCGCGTGTTGGCGAGGAAGCCATAATATCGCACCTCCTCGTTATTTCGTCATAAATTTGGACGGTAATAATGGCACGGGCGCGCTGGTTCGACCCTTTTTGGTGGCCGATGGGTCTGGTTATAAAAACCACCAGCTGGCTACAATTACGGCTCGGCCCTCCTACATAGTTTCGAATTAATATCTAATTTCAGTAAGGCACAAAAAATTATATGAATTCTATTAGGAGACTACCATTAGGAATTTTGATTAAATTATAGGGCGAGGGGGGCTCTTTTTCAAATCGGCAGCTCGGGGTTAAACAAATGGGAGGTAAATTGATGCTTCGGTTCGATAATATTTATTATCGCTTTGTTACACGATTGGAGAGCATTTCAGGTTTTGTTTCTTCGACACTACAATAATTAAAAAATTAAAGCCGGCTTTACCTCATTTATAATAAAAACGTTTCGGTGAAGACACCAGGTGGTAGAGAAGTCCCGTTGGCGCCTTCTTGGCAGGCGACGACTCAATTCCATCCCTTTGACGGGTAAATTGAAAAATCGCGACGAATTAAAAGCATCATTTAGAATCGAGATTTCACGGAGACGCTCATTAAATTTTGGCGAAAGGGGCCGACGAGGGAAATTAATGACCGTGGATAGGAGCATGGTGGTCTGAGAGGCTGAAACGTGTAAAGTCCATGTTGTACAATCTGGGACACCGAAAAAACCAGCCCGGAATTTCATTACTGTTAAATTAAACAAAGGACCAAATTAAACAAAGACTAGAGAACAGAGAAGAAAATCTGTTCAACTACTAAATTACTAATCTCATTGTTTATTCTCTTTGGTTTAGCACCACTTTAATTAAAAGAATGTCTACATTTTTGTTCCACAACCAACTGCATTGTTTAAAATTTCGCAATGTTATGCAACCAGCAATACTTCCATATGAGCAGAATTTTAATATTAGAACTTAATTACGTTCAAATTAGTTTACATTTCCCTATTTCTATGGTGTAAAAACACTTAATTGAAAAAATGTGTGCTCATTTTAGCTCATACGTTAGAAAAAATGCGTTTGTTTATCTAAATATAACAATAATAGCAAGATAATAAAACAATAGTACTTTGGAAATTCCAGTGATAAAATTTTATAGTGTTGTAATTACCAATAATTTGCATTTTTTGATGACAAGACCTATTACTCAGCTCTTACGAAGTAACCCCCATTTAATAAGGCCGTTACAAGATAAAATAGATAAATTGTATATTTTTTAAGCAAATTTGCTGATAAATATCTTATCGGAGTTAATGCTTTGTTATGTGTTCTAATTCAGTTAGTTTATTGATTTTGTAAAAGTTGGTGACAATTTAGTTCTCCAATAGTAGAAATATAACTGTCTAAAATGTTAACACGTGGACCAGTTAAATAAGCTAATCAAAAGTAACACTCTTGAAATATTTTTAATCAGTGTTCTTAAGGCAGGTGCACAGTGAGCACATCATGAGAGTATACAGAGACGATGGCACTTGGTACACACCACACCTCGACGACGACGCTTTCGGATGGAACTTCAACGACATCAACATCCAGGAAGACGTTTACAGCGACATGAAGTTCAGTGTGGAAAATCCAGAAAGTGTAGATCTTCCTGGCGAACGAAAACGACTTACAACCCAAGACATCGACATGCAAACACCACGCAAAAGCCAAATCATAAATTTGATCAATCCGTGCACGTTTGAAAGCAGAGCTTTGCTTTCCGTAGTCAACCAGTCGCTGCTCACAACACTCGACCCAAGCATGATCAGAACAGATCATTTTGTACAAAGTAGTGCGTACAAGATGTACACTGGAGACTCAGACGGACTGATTGTTGAAGAGATAGACAACTACAACCGCTGCAAAAACCACAATTTTTCGCTGCTGATGGACATGGTGTTGTCGGAAAATAAGTGCGATGTGAAGGCTATTAGTTTTGATAAGTATGGGGAATCGAACGGTGACGAAGTGGATTCAGGGAACAACTTCAGGAGTGAGTGGGACAACCGAAAAATGCAGAGAGTGTATTCCTTGAATCATGACTGCGACATGATTTCTGATCAAATTGTGAAACTATCGAGTGAAACGCGGGTCAGCTTGAAAACGATGTCTGAATTAAGAGCAGTTTTTGAGGTAATTTGATAAAGTGGATTGCGTCTTGTATGTCATTTTTTTTAGGAAGAAAATAAGCGAGTAGATCAATTGATACAGGATGCGCAATATATAGGAAAGGAGCTCCGGGAAACGAAATTCCTGGACGATTTAACACACCTTCTTACTGGCCAACTGGAGAAAGTTGTACTCAAAGAGGCTTCGTTTCGTATTTTTCTGCGACCGGACGAGGGCGAAGAAATGAACTTAATAATATAAATTATCTATTATTTTGAATCGTTTTACTAATTTTACTGACCTTACCCCCACCCAGCACATTCTATAGGACGCAATAAAGAAGACTGTCACATAGGACCGGCATCTGCGTCATACACTCTCTCTATGTTATAGTGCGCCCCGCTCCGTTGTCGAATCGCGGCAATAATTCTTCAATTAGGTCCATCGCGCGATAACCATCGCGATAATCTCCGTTATTGATACGTTGTCACGTGTCCAGGCATGGCCGCGATCCGTCGATCGCCGTGTCGATAAATCCGGTGTATGCGTCGGCCCCACGTAACCGTATAATTAACGCAGCGCTAATATATAACGCGAAATATAATCAGCGCTGACCCTTAAAAGTAACCCCGATGGTATCTGGCGAAGCAGTTATGCGAATCAGGATTTATTTCGGCGAGATCCCAGCCGGCGATTGTTTCAACAGCACGTGGTAATAGTTTTAAAACGGCAATTTAACGGCAATTTTTTTCGATGAATCGTAGTTTCGAGACAAAGCCGTCGCAATTTTCACCTGTCCGATAGATCGCGGCCAATTTCGGCCCTTATCTGCCATCGGCCGCTTATTAGGATTGATTGGAGTTGGCTAGGCGTGAGCTGGGTAATAGATCTCGACACTTTTGCCGGCGAATTATCATATTGATGGGTTGGGTCTATTAAGGCCGCGCTCGGATCAGATCCGAATTTTTTGCGCCGGTTTTGGGCCGCAAGTGTCGCCGCGATTACCAAATCTAATTAATGCGCGATCGGATCTCGCGTACTAATTGGGCTCGACAATGCTCACTTGCGAATGGAAACGTACTACGTGCATTAAAATCTCTTTGTCGGGGCGTCGGTTCGGTTGGTTATCTCGGCTTAATTAATTATTCATTTAATGCACAGTTCATTAGCTTTGTGTTTGCGACATTACAATTACAAAGAGAAACAAGCTGGACTGATTTATTGGAAAGACACGGGATTATCAAAGGATGGCTTGCGCTAATTTATTACGCTTTAATAGGCTAGAAATTTATTCAAATGGAATCCTTTATGGGCGTTCTTGTTCTCTTATCGGGATGGTTTTGTCATCTTGTAACTATTTGTTTTGCATATCGCCCGACTAGAAAGAGCGGCGCAGATTCGGACATAAATTCCAGAGATGGAGATCCACTTTCCAAACGCACACTCAAATTCAGACCTCGATCGAGATTTTGGCACAAGCGAAAAAGCTCCATCTAGGTTACACACCCAAAAATATAGTACAGAATGAGCTGTCGAAAGCCATATTTTACCACTTCTAAGGAAAAAAACTATTTGTTTTACAATGTTTTTTCTACAAGAGAAACGAAGACAACAATATAGATTATACTTAAACCAAAATACTTACTGCTAGTAGTTTTTCGAGAATATTTCAGTAATATGACAAACTATATATTTAACGCTCTGGCTGAGTCACAACACCGACTAACAAAGGACCTACATAATAATATACTATGTACTTATTTTTAAAATAAAACACCTTTAGGTGCCAAGGATTCTTTTAACTTCCCTCAAAAACGACACAGGAAGGACCCCTGACATTCTTTTAACTACTTCCAAAAGCAACACAGAAAAACTCTCCCCGCCTATAAGATTCTTTTAACTTCTTCCAAAAATAACACAAGAGATTCCTGAAATTCTTTAAACTTCCTTCAAAAAAACATAGAAAAGGTCCTAGAAATTATTGTAAGTTTTTCCAAAAACAATATAAAAAGGGGCACCTGAAATTCTTTTAATTTCCTATAAACATAGAGAAGGCCCCCGAGATTCTTTTAACTTCTTCCAAAAACCACACAGAAAGGACCCTCGAAATGCTCTTAACTTCTCTCAAAAACAACACATAAAAGGCCCCTGAAATTATTTTTATATCTTCCAAAAACACAGAAAGGGCCCCCAGATTATTTTAAGTTCTTCCAAAAACATCATAAAAAGAGAGCTCCTGAAATTCTTTTAACTTCTTGCAAAAACAACACAGGAAGGGCCCCTGAGATTCTTTTAGCTTATCGCAAAAACAACACAGATAATGGCTACCAAGATTTTTTTAGCTTCTCAAGGAAACAACACAGGAAGAGCCCCCGAATTTTTTTTAGCTTCTCGCAAAAACAACACACTAATGGCTACCAAGATTTTTTTAGCTTCTCACGAAAACAACCTAGAAAAGGCCCCAAGATTCTTCTAGCTTTTTACGAAAACAACATAGGAAGGGTCGCAGGGATTCATTTAGTTTATCGCAAAAACAACACAGTAATAGCTAATAAGATTTTTTTTACCTTCTCAAGGAAACAACACAGAAAATGCTCCCGAGATTCTTTTAATTTCTCGCAAAAACAACACAGAAAAGACCCCTGAGATTACTTTAGCTTCTCGCAAAAACAACAGAGAAAGGACCTCCGAGATTCTTTTAGCTTCTCGTAAAACAACACAGAAAAGATCCCTGAAATTATTTTAGTTTCTCGTAAAAACAACACAGAAAAGGCCCCTAAGATTCTTTTACCTTCTCGTGAAAACAGCACAGAAAGGGCCTCTAAGAGTCTTTTAGCTTCTCGCAAAAACAACAGAGAAAGGACCTCCGAGATTCTTTTAGCTTCTCGCACAAACAACACAGAAAAGACCCCTGAGATTATTTCAGCTTCTCGCAAAAACAACATAGAAAGGACCCCCAAGATTATTTGAGCTTCTGGCAAAAACAACACAGAAAGGGTCTCTAAGAGTCTTTTAGTTTCTCGCAAAAATAACAGAGAAAGGACCTTCGAGATTCTTTTAGCTTCTCGCACAAACAACACAGAAAATTATCCCTGAGATTATTTTAGCTTCTCGCAAAAATAACACAGAAAGGGCCTCTAAGAGTCCTTTAGCTTCTCGCAAAAGCAACAAAGAAAGGACCTCCGAGATTCTTTTAGCTTCTCGTAAAAACAACACAGAAAGGGCCTCTAAGGGTTTTTTTAGCTTCTCGTAAAAACAACACAGAAAGGGTATCTGCGATTATTTTAGCTTCTCGCAAAAACAACACAGAAAGGGCCTCTAAGGGTTTTTTTTAGCTTCTCGCAAAAACAACAGAGAAAGAACCTCCGAGATTATTTTAGCTTCTGGCAAAAACAACACAAAAAGGGTCTCTAAGAGTACTTTAGTTTCTCGCAAAAATAACAGAGAAAGGACCTTCGAGATTCTTTTAGCTTCTCGCACAAACAACACAGAAAATTATCCCTGAGATTATTTTAGCTTCTCGCAAAAATAACACAGAAAGGGCATCTAAGAGTCTTTTAGCTTCTCGCAAAAGCAACAAAGAACGGACCTCCGAGATTCTTTTAGCTTCTCGTAAAAACAACACAGAAAGTGTCCCTGCGATTATTTTAGCTTCTCGCAAAACAACACAGAAAGGGCCTCTAAGGGTTTTTTTATCTTCTCGTAAAAACAACACAGAAAGGGTTCCTGCGATTATTTTAGCTTCTCGCAAAAACAACACAGAAAGGGCCTCTAAGGGTTTTTTTAGCTTCTCGCAAAAACAACAGAGAAAGAACCTCCGAGATTATTTTAGCTTCTCGCAAAAACAACACAGAAAGGACCCTCGAGATGATTTCAGCTTCTCGCAAAAATAACACAGAAAGGGCCTCTAAGAGTCCTTTAGCTTCTCGCAAAAGCAACAAAGAAAGGACCTCCGAGATTCTTTTAGCTTCTCGTAAAAACAACACAGAAAGGGCCTCTAAGGGTTTTTTTAGCTTCTCGTAAAAACAACACAGAAAGGGTCCCTGCGATTATTTTAGCTTCTCGCAAAAACAACACAGAAAGGGCCTCTAAGAGTACTTTAGTTTCTCGCAAAAATAATAGAGAAAGGACCTTCGAGATTCTTTTAGCTTCTCGCACAAACAACACAGAAAATTGTCCCTGAGATTATTTTAGCTTCTCGCAAAAATAACACAGAAAGGGCCTCTAAGAGTCCTTTAGCTTCTCGCAAAAGCAACAAAGAACGGACCTCCGAGATTCTTTTAGCTTCTCGTAAAAACAACACAGAAAGTGTCCCTGCGATTATTTTAGCTTCTCGCAAAAACAACACAGAAAGGGCCTCTAATGGTTTTTTTACCTTCTCGTAAAAACAACACAGAAAGGGTTCCTGCGATTATTTTAGCTTCTCGCAAAAACAACACAGAAAGGGCCTCTAAGGGTTTTTTTAGCTTCTCGCAAAAACAACAGAGAAAGAACCTCCGAGATTATTTTAGCTTCTCGCAAAAACAACACAGAAAGGACCCTCGAGATGATTTCAGCTTCTCGCAAAAATAACACAGAAAGGGCATCTAAGAGTCCTTTAGCTTCTCGCAAAAGCAACAAAGAAAGGACCTCCGAGATTCTTTTAGCTTCTCGTAAAAACAACACAGAAAGGGCCTCTAAGGGTTTTTTTAGCTTCTCGTAAAAACAACACAGAAAGGGTCCCTGCGATTATTTTAGCTTCTCGCAAAAACAACACAGAAAGGGCCTCTAAGGGTTTTTTTAGCTCCTCGTATAAACAACACAGAAAGGGTCCCTGCGATTATTTTAGCTTCTCGCAAAAACAACACAGAAAGGGCCTCTAAGGGTTTTTTTTAGCTTCTCACAAAAACAACAGAGAAAGAACCTCCGAGATTATTTTAGCTTCTGGCAAAAACACACAAAAAGGGTCTCTAAGAGTACTTTAGTTTCTCGCAAAAATAACAGAGAAAGGACCTTCGAGATTCTTTTAGCTTCGCGCACAAACAACACAGAAAATTATCCCTGAGATTATTTTAGCTTCTCGCAAAAAATAACACAGAAGGGCCTCTAAGAGTCCTTTAGCTTCTCGCAAAAGCAACAAAGAAAGGACCTCCGAGATTCTTTTAGCTTCTCGTAAAAACAACACAGAAAGTGTCCCTGCGATTATTTTACCTTCTCGTAAAAACAACTTAGAAAGGGTTCCTGCGATTATTTTAGCTTCTCGCAAAAACAACACAGAAAGGGCCTCTAAGGGTTTTTTTAGCTTTTCGCAAAAACAACAGAGAAAGAACCTCCGAGATTATTTTAGCTTCTCGCAAAAACAACATAGAAAAAACTCCAGAGATTCTTTTAACTTCTTCCAAGAACTACACAGTTCTTTAAGTTTCTCGCAAAATCAACACAGAAAGGGCCTGCTATATTGTTTTAACTTCTTGCAAAACCTTGAAAAAAAAAAAAACCTTAAACTTGTCCACGTTAATTAGATATCAGATATCTACATGTGATTATTATTTGCAATAAAAAAGGGTGAGGAATTTACAGACACAACATGAAAATAACAAACACAAAAATTCGTTTCTGACTAATAATCCTGAATTATTTCTTTGTCGAATTTGTTACAGAATTTCCTGACATATTACTGAATCTTGAAAACAAAAAAAAACAGTTATACAAAACTATCAGAAATGTTAACAAGTATCAAAAACAGCACCTATAAATTAAAATAAATTACCGTAAACGACACACTTTTATTTTTCGACAAAGACACAAACAACCCAATTCTAGTTCTAGGAAAGCACTCCACACTTCCACGGTCTTCCCCAAACCGCCGCCGCTGCTGCGATAAATAGAAGGTAAGCATTTCGAAACGAGCGCCGCAACGTATCATTATTTTCGAAATGGCCATTAGTTATTTAAGACAGTTTGTTAACTATATTGGCCAAGTGCGAACTATTTCGGTATTTTGGCGGCTCGTTAATCCTGCTGGCAACCCTTTATTTCCGATAATTGTTTAATTGTACGCTACTGATCGCCCGAGTGCTATTTATGGCAAGAGCGATCGATCCTTCTTTGAAGCAGCGGTCTGGGTTTTGGGGAAATTAAATCAATTTTTCATCCTGCTTGGGAGGTAATTGGAATTTACTGTTAACGGTCGAGCGTACAAGAAAAAAAAGTGTCTTTTATTTTAGTCGATCCTGAAGCGGGTTTTTCGTAGCGCCATCTCGCGTTTTCGCCAGAAAAAATTGTCTAAATCAAAGAACCCATTCGTCACCCAATTTGTCAGCATCTCGTAGAACGATCCCATTCGGAATCAATTACCATAGAAATCGCTCCGGAGGTGACAATTCAAGCGAGACATTAAAAAAATTATTGTGTTTGTGTCTTAGACGAATGGTCCAATTTACAACAGACATAATCCGGACAAATGTATTCGAATCGTTAATGGCGCAATAAATAAACTTCCCACTAGCGTCCAAAGGCGAACTGTTCGAGATTTTACCACTTGCTTTTCGAGGGACATTCTGTATATCATTTAAGAGCCAGGAGATGATTAATGGACGTCGGAGAGTAAATTATTGCCGCCGCGTTCAGCGGCCGATGTGATTCGTGGCATTTTCGGACAAAAGAGGAGAAAGTGTTAAGCAAACAATGGCACGCGGGCAGAAAAGGCGATAATTGTAACAGATAAATCTGCTAAGTTTTATGGGCAATTTATCGTGGTTTATGGCGGAGATAACGACGATGGCGCAAGCAAATTTGGGCAGCGTTAGGCACGGCGACGTCTTCGCGAACAAATTTATTAGCCGAAACACAATAGGCGATTAGTGTTGTTGCCACTTCGGCTGGAGCCGCCGTCGTCCGGTTTTTCCTTTTGGAAATTCCATCCAAAGAAGAAAAAATAACTAAAAACACAAGGGTTCATCATCTCGTTGCGCAATTAAAACCCAACATCTTGGCCAATCGTTATCATAACCTCGATTGCTTTCTAAAATAATTGTCGTTCGTTAGGCCGAGGAGCGGCGTTTTGTTTAACTTGGTCTTTTCTTTTTCTCTTCGATTAACTCGTCGGATACATCAACGCCACAATGCGCCGATTTCACACTCTGCCTTTTCGTAAGTAGTGTCTCAATTATGCAGTTTTACAAAACATGATACGGCATGAAGCAACGGGCCATTGTGCGGACGAATGAAACGGGTTATTGTGTTTGGAGTGGACTAATCCGTCGAAAATGCGGTATTTTTTTAGCCATCAAAGATGCACAATTTGCACCACAGTGCAGGCTTTGTGCGAAATGTCAGCAAAATTTGTTTTTCGTACTTGAAGGACTTTTTGCTGCGAGGGCTCTTGAAGCATCATTGACATGGTTGTCGCTGAACCGTGCAACATTAAACACACATTTTAAATTTTAAAAACAAAGAATCGGAAAGACTGTCGGGGATCCCTGTGGTTTATTTTTGAAAACGTTTAAAAAAGCCTGGGGTCTGAAAAGCTTTGAAAATATCTCTATTGGGTTCTTTTGCAAGAAATAAAAAACCTCTAAGGAATCTTCTGTGTTTTTGCAAGAAGCTAAAAGAATGTTGAACACGCTTTCTATGTTGATTTTCCGACAAGCTAAAAGAATCCCGGGGGCTTTCTGTGTTGTTTTTTGCTAGAAGCTAAAAAAATCTTGGTGGCCGTTTCTCTGTTGTTTTTGGAGAGAAGCTAAAAGAATCTTGGAGGCCCCTTTTGTGTTATTTTTTGCGAGAAGCTAAAAGAATCTGGTGGGCTATTTTGGTGTTGGTTTTGCGAGAAGCTAAAATAATCTCGGGGGTCCTTTCTGTGTGGTTTTTGCGAGAAGCTAAAAATTACCTTGGTGGCCTTTTCTCTGTTGTTTTTTGGCGAGAAGCTAAAAGAATCTCGGGGACCCTTTTTGTGTTGTTTTTTGCTAGAAGCTAAAATAATCTTGGGGGCTTTCTCTGAATTGTTTCATGCGGGAAGCTAAAATGATCTCGGGGGCTCTTTTTGTGTTGTTTTTGCGAGAAGCTAAAATAATCTCGGGGGTCCTTTCCGTATTGTTTTTTGCGAGAAGCTAAAAAAATCTTGGTGGCCCTTCCTCTGTTGTTTTTGGCGAGAAGCTAAAAGAATCTCGGGGGCCCTTTTTGTGTTATTTTTTGGCGAGAAGCTAAAAGAATTTCGGGGGCTATTTTTGTGTTGGTTTTGCGAGAAGTTAAAAGAATCTCGGGGGCTATTTTTGTGTTGGTTTTGCGAGAAGCTAAACAAATCTTGGTGGCCCTTTCTCTGTTGTTTTTGGCGAGAAGTTAAAAGAATCTCGGGGGCCCTTTTTGTGTTATTTTTGCGAGAAGCTAAACGAATCTCGGGGGCTATTTTGTGTTGGTTTTGCGAAAAGCTAAAATAATCTCGGGGGTCCTTTCTGTGTTGTTTTTGCGAGAAGCTAAAAAAGCCTTGGTGGCCTTTTCTCTGTTGTTTCTGGCGAGAAGCTAAAAGAATCTCGGGGGCCCTTTTTGTGTTATCTTTGCGAGAAGCTAAAAGAATCTCGGGGGCTATTTTTCTGTTGGTTTTGCGAGAACCTAAAATAATCTTGGTGGCCTTTTCTCTGTTGTTTTTGGCGAGAAGCTAAAAGAATCTCGGGGGCCACTTTTGTGTTGTTTTTGTGAGAAGCTAAAAGAATCTTGGGGGCTTTCTCTGAATTGTTTCATGCGGGAAGCTAAAATAATCTCGCGGGCTCTTTTTGTGTTGTTTTTGCGAGAAGCTAAAATAATCTCGGGGGTTCTTTCCGTATTGTTTTTTGCGAGAAGCTAAAAAAATCTTGCTGGCCTTTTCTCTGTTGTTTTTGGCGAGAAGCTATAAGAATCTCGGGGGCCCTTTTTGTGTTATTTTTGCGAGAAGCTAAAAGAATCTCGAGGGCTATTTTTGTGTTGGTTTTGCGAGAAGCTAAAAGAATCTCGGGGGCTATTTTTGTGTTGGTTTTGCGAGAAGCTAAACAAATCTTGGTGGTCCTTTCTCTGTTGTTTTTGGCGAGAAGTTAAAAGAACCTCGGGGGCCCTTTTTGTGTTATTTTTGCGAGAAGCTAAAAGAATCTCGGGGGCTATTTTGTGTTGGTTTTGCGAGAAGCTAAAATAATCTCGGGGGTCCTTTCTGTGTTGTTTTTGCGAGAAGCTAAAAAAGCCTTGGTGGCCTTTTCTCTGTTGTTTCTGGCGAGAAGCTAAAAGAATCTCGGGGGCCCTTTTTGTGTTATCTTTGCGAGAAGCTAAAAGAATCTCGGGGGCTATTTTTCTGTTGGTTTTGCGAGAACCTAAAATAATCTTGGTGGCCTTTTCTCTGTTGTTTTTGGCGAGAAGCTAAAAAAATCTCGGGGGCCATTTTTGTGTTGTTTTTGTGAGAAGCTAAAAGAATCTTGGGGGCTTTCTCTGAATTGTTTCATGCGGGAAGCTAAAATAATCTCGGGGGCTCTTTTTGCGTTGTTTTTGCGAGAAGCTAAAATAATCTCGGGGGTTCTTTCCGTATTGTTTTTTGCGAGAAGCTAAAAAAATCTTGGTGGCCCTTTCTCTGTTGTTTTTGGCGAGAAGCTATAAGAATCTCGGGGGCCCTTTTTGTGTTATTTTTGCGAGAAGCTAAAAGAATCTCGGGGGCTATTTTGTGTTGGTTTTGCGAGAAGCTAAAATAATCTCGGGGGTCCTTTCTGTGTTGTTTTTGCGAGAAGCTAAAAAAGCCTTGGTGGCCTTTTCTCTGTTGTTTCTGGCGAGAAGCTAAAAGAATCTCGGGGGCCCTTTTTGTGTTATCTTTGCGAGAAGCTAAAAGAATCTCGGGGGCTATTTTTCTGTTGGTTTTGCGAGAACCTAAAAT